TTCAATCCCTGGTACAAAAAAAAAAAAAAGAAAAGAAAAAAGAAAAAAAGAAAAGAAAGAAAGCATTACCCTTAAGAGGGTACAAGCTTCAGATCAGGAGTAAGTGCTAAGAACTGAGAGGACAGCCATGAGCCAAAAAGACAAAAGTCCCGGTTCCCAGGGAGATCATGTTAGTGGGAGATACAGAGGCAGACGCAAAAATAAAAGTCAACAGGATGTTAAGCAATTGCCTTCTCTAAGGAAAAATACAAAGCAGAGGGAGCATATGGCGTGAAGCTGTTTTTAGTAGCATGGTCAGAAGACACCTTCCATAAAATAGCATTTGAACAGAAGGCTGCAAAAAGTTGAGACGCAGGCAGACACCTGGAGTGGGGGGGAGCATCCCAGGAAGAGGCAACCCAAAACGCAAATGTGGAGATGGGAACAAACGTGATGAGTTCCAGAGCTTCAAGGAGGCTTGTGTGGCTGGAGGGGGAGGAGGGAGGAAGAGTGGGAGTGAGGTGGGGGAGGAGGGGGACAGAAAGTAGACGCCATGGCAAAGACTTTGGCTTGTCCTCTGAGTGAGGCAGGAGCCACGGGAGGAACACAGGATCTGCCCTTAGCTTTAATGGGACACTACGGCCCCTGTGTGGAGAACAGAGAGACGGGAACCAAGATGAGCAAAGGGTAACGAGGAAGCTGGTGGCTAAGAACGTGAGAAATGGCAGCAGCCGGGCCAAGGTCATGGCAGAGGGAATGATCCTAAATTTTGCATGTAGTGGTTGGATTCTGGAGATATTTTGGAGAAAGACCCAGAGAGGCTGGCTGGTGCCTTGGCTATAGCATCTGATGCAAACAGAGACGACGGGAATGAGCCTAATTTTTTTCCATCCTAAGCACCTGGCAGTATGGAGCTACTGTCCACTGAGATCAAGAAGAGTGTGAGGAGGGCCAAGAAAGAAAATCAGTGGTCAGTCTTGAGCACACGGGCTGAGTGTCCCTTATCCAAAGTATTTAGGACCAGAAGTGTTTTGGGATTCATATTTTTTTTTCAGATTTAAGAATATTTGCATACATATATAAATAATGAGCTATCTTGGGCATAGTACCCAAGTCTAAACACAAAATTCATTTATGATTTATATAGACTTATACACATAGCCTTATACACATAGTTAGTTTTACATGATCTCTTAGCATGTGTAACATTTCTTAAAATGTTTTTTAGTTGTAGATGGACACAATATCTTCATTTTTATTTATGTATTTTTATGTGGTGCTGAGGATTGATATGTGCTAGGAAAGCTCTCTACCACTGAGCCATGACCCCAGCCCAAATGCGTAACGTTTTAACTGCAACGCATCACATGAGGTGAGCTGTGGAATTTTCCACTCATGCCATCACTTCAGCACTCAAAAATTTGGGATTTTGGAGCATTTTGGATTTCAGGTTTTCACATCAGAGATGCTCAATCCGTGTGAAGTTTGGGTTAGTCATTGACCATCAGGTGTGGATGTCGGATGGACTGTTGGATAGAATCATCAAACATTTGGGAAATACCTCATATAGAGAGAAGGCAAGCCATATATTATTATCAAAAGAAGAAGCAGCAGAAACAAATTAAGAATTTTACTTAAAATTTCCAAACAAGACTTACAATTGTTAAGAAAAAAAAAAAAAAAGATCAGAATAAGGTCACAATCTGCCAAGCTTGGTGGTGCGTGCCTGTAACCCCAGCAGCTTGGAAGTCTGAGGCAGGAGGATCGCAAGTTCAAGGCCAGCCTCAGCAACTTAGTGAGGCCCTGTTTCTAAACAAAACATAAAAAGAGTTGGGATGTGGCTTAGTGGTTAAGTGCCCCCGGGTTCAATCCCCAGGACCAAAACAAAAAAAGTCCCAACCTACCAACAGTAGGATTGAGTAGCACACTTGAGACTAATTATTGGAAAAATCATCAAGACATGGTTCTTTGAAAACTTAAGAAAATCACTATTTTATTATCAAAAATAAGCAAATATCAACAAGAACAAAAACAAGGAAAATTTATAGTAAATAAAAAAACTGGTTATTTTTAATGATCAAGAAAATTTTATGTAAAATTGCACAGAAATACATTTGGAAGCTCCCAAGAAATTTACTCTTACTATTTTTTTTAAAAGGCTAATAAAATAAGGTAAGAAAGAATTTAAGCCCTATCAAGGTTGTTTTTAAAAGTTATCCACGAACACCCAAGTGGCACCTGGCCCTGGAGGATTCATGGAAAGATTTTTTCCCAACCTTTCAAGCAGTACTATAAATTGTCCCAGGAAAAAAACAATTCATTGTACACAACAGACTTTGTCTTGATAACTCATGCATAACAATTCTGAATTAAATACTGAAAATAAAACATGAATTGATGAGAACCTAAATTTTGTTCCTATATCCAATGAAGTAAAAGGAAATAGCCAGAAAGAGGACTCCACCATCAGGGAGCCCACAGTCTAGTTGGGGGAAAAGGATCTAGACAAATATAAGACAATCTGGCTGTTTCTAAGGTATAGGAGAGAAGCGGAGAGACAGCAATGAAACAGGTCCAGTTGTCACTCTTGAGGAATTTGTGGTTCATCTGAGAACTTGTGCTCCTGAGACTCACAGTACCGAAAAGCACCATTGCTTTAGAAGGTCATGAATCGGGAAGGCTCCCTGGAGGACATGTCATTTGAGTAAGGCCCTGAAGGAAAACTTCGGTGATGAAGAGTATGAACATTGGAGTCAAGTAAAAATGAAGTCAAGTTCCAGCTCTCCAGTGTCCTTGCTGTGTGATTTGGGGCAAAATGACTTCCTCTTCCTGGTCCTCAGCTTGTAAAATGAAGCCTCTCACCTTGTCTGTGGGTTAATGTGAGAACTACCTGGCTGTGGTCTGGATGTGATTGGATTCAGCCCCCGCTTCCCTAAGGTTCCTATGATTGGAGGCTGGTCTTTGGAATGACGCTATTCTGAGATGCTGTGGCGCCTTTAAGAGGTGGGGCCTAGTGATCCTTAAGTCAATGGGAGGGCTTCTGCAGTTCCTTGAGCCCTCATTGGCTGGCTGAGCAAGCCTGGACCCGCCCAGCTCTCAGCTCCTGGCTGGAAGGCAGTGGGCTTGCTCCTCACCCTCCCACCATTGCTACCTGCCACGAGGTGGTGCAGACCAGGGAGGCCTCGCTGAGCCTGAGCTATGCAACTTGGGCTTTTAGCTTCCTACACTCTAAACCAAACAAATCTTTTTCATAAGTAGCTTGTGTCGAGAATGTGGTGAAAGTAACAAAAAGATGACTAATGTATACTCTAAAGGAGAAACGTGCAAAGTGCCACCCACATACAGGTGCCACTCGCAGGGTTTAAAAGACCCAAGCAGCAAGGTGTGTAGCACACACCTGTGATCCCAGCAAAGTGGGTGTGAGGCAGGAGGATCGCAAGTGGTCAGCCTCAGCAATGTAGTGAGACGCTAAGCAACTTAGTGAGATCCTGTTTAAATATTTTAAAAAGGGCTAGGGATGTAGCTCAGTGGCAAAGCACCCCTGGTTCAATCCCCAATTCAGGAAAATAAAAAAAGAAAAAAGAAAGAAAAGAAATCCCCAAGCTGATGAAATTCTAAAGGAGATTCTAGAGAGGCCTGGTCTTCTAGAATTTTCTGCAGTGATGGAAATGTTCTATACCTACGCAGTCCAATATGACAGCCACCAACCACATTTGGCTATCGGGCCCTTGAACCATGGCCAGTAAACCTGAGGACTAAATTTTAAACTGCCATTAATTTTAGTTTGGATAGTCATAGGTGACTTGTGATCACCAAATCAGGCAGCATAGATGAGACAGGCATTCCAGGCAGCAGTGCCAGCTTGAGAAAAGGCCCAGAAGCACGAAAATAAGACATCCCAGACAGTTTGTATGAGCTCCCTGTGGCCGCTGTAACAAACGTAGCCACTGAAAACAATATGACCTGTTCTCTTAAGATGTTGGCAGTCAAAAGTGTGAAGTCAAGGTGTTGGCAGGTCTGCTTTCCTTCTGGAAGTTTGGAAGAGAATCTGACCCTGACTTTTTCAGCTTCTGGAGGCCACCTGTATTCCTTGGCTTGTGGCCCCTTCCCCTTGTCACTGGAGGCTCTGCTTTGGTTATCACATCTTCTGCTACTGACTCAGATCTCCTACTTTACTCTTTAAAGGACCCTTGTGATGACTTTGGGCCCACCTGGACAGGCCAGAATAATGTCCCCACCCCTAACTTCATCACATCTGCAAGTCCCTTTTGCAATGTAGGGTTTCACAGCGCCAGGGAATTAGGATGTGCACAACACTGGCAGCCATTATTCTGCCTCCTATGGGGTCTGAGAAGCTAGAGTGGAAGTGGTGGGGAGAAGCCTCGAATGCCAAGCCAAGGAGCTTGGACATGGCCTTTTGTCAAAATAGCCTCCCAGTACCTCTGCTCTACCACCCTGACCACCTCTTGCATGGACTATTGCAGTAACCTCCTCACTTGGCTCCTTACTTCCTGCTTCCTTCCCTAGACATCTCTACCAGCAAACAGAGAGGGGTTTTACTAAAATCTAAGTCAATCAAGACACTCAGAGTAGGGAACTTGGAAAAAAATATTGAGTGCTCTGTGTTTGAATTGTAGATAAACAACAAATAACTTTTAGTATAAGTAGGGCCAAAATATTTCCTGGGACTTACTAGGCAAGTGCTCTGCCATGAGCTCTGCCTCCAGCCACCCCAGGGCCTTTACACATGATATTCTGCTGGTTCCTCTACTTGGAACAATTTTCTCCCAGTTATAAGCACAACTCCTGCTCCCCTTGTGTAGGTTTGGGCTCAAATATCACCTTACCCCAGAGACTTTTTTGACTGACATCTCCTGCCCCATCCAGTCCCGTTTGTCTCTTTTAGGTTTCTTAGACTTGTCACCCTTCCCATATTCCATGCTCATTTACTTGCTTATTGTCTGTCTTCCTCCCTTACAACGTCAGCTCTCTGAGGGCAGAATTTGTGTCTGTCCTGGTCACTACTGTACCCTGATGCCTATATCAGGGCCTGGCATACAGCAAGGGCCTATGAATGTTCTTTGAATGAAGGGAGAAAATGAAACTCCTGGATCCAGCTTTGCCTGAAGCTATTTGTGAAATGGAATAGGAGATTAAAAAGCCAGTGTCCCTCTTGCCTACACTTCCATCTCTGACACCAGGTCATGACTGGTGAATACCTTGCTTACTACATTTTCCTCCTCATCCTGAGACTCCCTCAGGGCCCAGTGACAAGCAGCTGGCAGTGACCGTCGCAGTTGAGCCCGCCCAAAATATAGGAAGAGCATGGGATTGAGGCAGCTGTGAGCCAGGGCCAGGCCCACGACCAGGGGTTCAGCGCGGAGGGCCCGGGCCAGGAGCGCAGAGTTTGGGGCAGCCACGGTGAGGACCAGCCCCAGGATGTGGTAGGGGGCCCAGCAGACGAAAAACCCCACCATGACCGCCACGCCCAGAGGCCAGTGGCATCGGGTCACTCGGCACAGGAGGGCACCTTGGCAGCCGGCCACGAACACCAGGGGCCCCAGGAAGCCGAAGATGAAGCGCAGGGCGGTCACGGCGCCCTCGGCCGCGGCGGAGCCCCCGTAGTCCACCACGCACAGGAGCCGGGCCGGGAAGTGCTCCTGGTGCAGGCGGCGGTGCAGCGCCGAGGGCGCGGTCAGCAGCAAGGCCAGCGCCCAGGCCGCGCCCTGCGCCACCCGCACCGCACGAGTCCGCCGAGCCGCTGCCCACCAGGTGGGCCCAAGGGCCAGCAGGCAGAGGTCAGCGCTGAGGGCGGCCAGCAGCAGGACGCCGGCGTACATGGACAGCAGGATGGCCGAGGGCAGCAGCCGGCACCCCGCGGCCCCGTAGGGCCAGTGGCCTTCCCGGGCGATCGGCACCGCCAGGATGGGCAGGGACACACAGCACAAGAGGTCGGCCACGGCCAGGTGCAGGAACCAGGTGGCCCCAACCCTCCGGCTGGCCTCCTTCCCGGCCACCCAGGCCACCGTGACGTTGCCCGGCACGCCCAGCAGGAAGACGGCAGCGTACAGCAGCAGAGGGGCCACGCGGACCGTGTCGGTGGAGAGGCAGGCGCCGTCCCGGCAGTCCACGGGGACATCCAGAAGGTCACTGTAGTCCCCGTACTCGTAGGGGTAGCTGAGCGAATCGTTCTCCATTGGGGTCCAGACACCTGGGCGGGAGAGACACCCAGGGAAATTTCAGAGAAGAAAACTCCCAAGGCTTTGGGAATTCGAGGGTAGTAGAAGCTCCTCCCTCAGCATCCTGGAGACATGCATGCCCGTGCTTTATTATTTTTTTAAACTTTTTTTTTAAAGAGAGAGTGAGAGAGGGAATTTTTTTAATATTTATTTTTTAGTTATTGGCAGACACAACATCTTTGTTTGTATGTGGTGCTGAGGATCGAACCCGGGCCGCAGGCATGCCAGGCGAGCGCGCTACCGCTTGAGCCACATCCCCAGCCCCATGCCCGTGCTTTAGATCACTGGCTTCTAACCAGGGTTTAGAACTCAGGCCTCGGAATTCTGAAATATTGCACCCCTGGGATTCAGCCCATCAGAAGATTCCAATCCTTTTTTTCTTTGTTTCTTTTTTTGGTACTGAAACTTGAACCTAGGGGCACTCTACCACCAACCTACATCCCCAGCTCTTTTTATTTTTTATTTTGGAAAAAAAAAAAAAGTCTCACCAAGTTGCTGAGGCTGGCTTCTAACTTGCTATCCTCCTGCCTCAGCCTCCTGATTCGAAGAGATTACAGGCACTTGTCACTGTGCCCAGTACAGAAGACTGGAACTCCTGAATGCTAAAACGTTAGAACGCTGGCTGGTGCGCATCCTGGAGTTCTAGGGTATCGCATCTTTAGAACTCCAACAGCTTAGAACATTGGGATTCTAGAACGGGAATGCACTGGAGCAGGAGCTCCTCAATATGGTGGAATCCTAGAGCATCATGCTAGAACTCTGTCAACGAGGCCACCACACCCGGCTTTATTGACAGATGCCAGTGCCTCTGGAGGCCAAGCAGGAGGATCATAAAGTCAAAGCCAGACAGAGGTGCTAAGCAACCCAGTGAGACCCTGCTCTAAATAAATACAAAATAGGGATGGGGATGGGGCTCAGTGGGCGAGGGCCCCTGGGTTCAATCCCTGGTACCGAAGAAGAAGAGGGAGAAGGAGAAGGAGAAGAATTCTATCACAATAAAAATCTTGGAATTACAAAATATTAATTTATTAGAACCTTAGCCAATTATGACTTGAGTCAGGAGCATCACTTGAGCCCCAGGAATTTGGAACCAGTGTTGGCAACATAGCAAGATCCCATCTCAAAACAAAAAAAGAAAAAAGAAAAAAGAAAAAATTTCCTCTTATAATTATAAAAATTAAAAATAAAAGTGAGAAGCAATTGAAATGAAATCGTGTACTCTGTTCATCAAGAGAGGGAAACGGCTGTCTGTATTCACAGCGGAAGTATTTATCTTAGTTCTTCTTCATCTGCATTTTCTAATCTTGATACAGTGAAAATGTACACATAAGCAATCTTCTCATCCTTTTTTAACATAAATGAGAGCAGAGTAAAACACGTAGGGGCTGGGGATACAGCTCAGTTGGTAGAGTGCTTGCCTTGCATGCACAAGTCCCTGGGTTCAATCCCCAGCACCACACACACACACACACACCCCTTGGACCTGAGTGTCCAGCTTTCTGGGTTTTGTACCCTGAATATACCCATGTAACTGGCTCACAGATGGAGAACAAGTGAATCCTACTACTTGTAATTCTTTTTTTTTTTTTTAAAGAGAGAGTGAGAGAGGAGAGAGAGAGAGAGAGAGAGAGAGAGAGAGAGAGAGAGAGAGAGAATTTTATTTTAATATTTATTTTTTAGTTCTCGGCGGACACAACATCTTTGTTGGTATGTGGTGCTGAGGATCGAACCCAGGCCGCGCGCATGCCAGGCGAGCGCGTTACCGCTTGAGCCACATCCCCAGCCCCGTACTTGTAATTCTTAAAAGCAATGATAAGCCGGACATGGTGGTGATTACACCTGTAATCCCAGCAGCTCAGGAGTCTGAGGCAGGAGGATTCCATGAGTTCAAAGCCAGCCTCAGCAAAAGCGAGGCACTAAGCAACTCAGTGAGATCCTGCTCTAAATAAAATACAAAATAGGGCTGGGGATGGGGCTCAGTGGTTGAGTGCCCCTGAGTTTAATCCTCGGTATCCCAAAAATGAATAAATAAAGAAGCAATGATAATATTGGGAAGGTGGGACACATAAAATACGAATTCTCAACAATTCGTTCATTCACAAGACACAGTTCCTGAGCCCTTGTTCTGTTCCAGGTGCTGTTCCGGGCACTGAGGCGCCTGAGCAGGCCAAGACAGACAAAAGGCTTTCCCCTGGGAGTTGACCCCGCAGGGGGGAGGATTCAGCTGGTTAAGGCAGAAATAAGCAAAATACACAGGGGTTCCTAAGGTGATGAAGGCTCTGGGGGTGGGCATCACGATACAGGGAAGCTGCCACATGGGAACTTCACATGAGGGGGCAGGGAACACTTCTCTGGGTTGGTGACATTTGAGGGGAAACTAAAGGAGTTGAGGGAGGGTGCCGTGAAGATCCAGGGAAGGGTGTTCCAGGCAGAGGGAACAGCCAGTGTGGAGGCCTTGAGGCAGGAGAGCAGGGAGGCTGGAAGGAAGTAGAGGGGGGGAGGCCCTGAGTACATGGGGTCACTGGGCTCCTAAGGACTCTGTCTTGTATTGCTAATGAGGTGGGAGATGGGAGGGTGCTGAGCAGAGAGGCAACAGGATCTACCAGCGATGATCAGGACTTCCTATTAGACGTCACCCTCTATTGGGCACCTCGGGTTGGGTCCCAGGCATGGGTCCAAGCGGCTTTGAACATTGTGTCGTCCTCCTCTCCTGGACCAACCCTCTGACCTTGACACTGTGGTTTCCTTCTGCAGATGAGGAAACCGTGCAGGTGACTTACCCAAGATCACTCAGGTAAGGAGAGGACAGAACCGAGTTTCCACCCCTGTCCGCCCCTCTCTGGAGCCTGAGCCTCGGGGTGTCCGTCATCCCTAACCTGAGACTCCAGGGCTGGGGAGCGACACCGCTCCAGGCCCCAGCAGATCTGGCTCCGTGGCCTGCGTTGGGGATTGCAGCGGCCCCCTTACTTCCTGCCCTGGGAAGGGAGTCACCAAGGAGGACCCCTCGCCCTTCCTAGGGGACCCCGAGGAGTCCATGCGAGCCACGCACCTGGCCCAGAGTGGGACTCAACCAGATGGAGCTTTGGGGACAAGAGGACCCAGGAGGAGTCCCCGCCCTGCCCCATGTCAGAGTGGCCCTGTGGCTCTCTGCTGACTATTATGGGTTGGCTGGCACTTCCCAGAGCTTCAGCTGGTGCTGACATAACCGGAAGGACAGGGAGGAAGTCAAGTCGCTCCCCATCCTGCCTGGCAGCCCTAGGAGGTCAAGCCACATTTTGTGTTAGGCACTCTGCTGTTATTGTCCCCAGAGTGAAATGTGCACAGCCTCTGTAAACCCAAGCCCTCCCCAGTCCTCGGCCTCAGTCCCCCCATCTGCAGAAGGGGGTGATCACATGCCTGCCTCCAAGGGCATTGAATGGGCACATCACAGAGGGGAGCTGCACACAGCGCTGGGCCACAGTGAGCGTCACTCACCCGGCTGCCCTGGTGGCCATCCACCACCCCCACCCCCACCACCCCACCCCTCAACTCCTGCTGATTAAAACCATCAAACTTCCTGCGCATAAGCAACTAGACCACTTTCCAGCGTTTCCTCCTGAACATTCTAAGCAGAAACCAAGACACTGGACCCCCACGTCCCATCGCCTCATCTTTTCCACTTAGTTTGCCTTGGATCGGCTTCCCGCTGGCTACACCCGCCCACCTCCTTCTTCAAAATCAGTCTGTGGCTGCATGGTCATGCTGGGTCACCAGCCTCAGACCGGGTGAGAACGGCCTCTGGTAATAATGATAATGATCGTTACGAGAAGCATTATTTTATCACTTTTACGATAAGTTACATTTGTGTGTTTGTATAGACTGTGTTTACATGCTTCAATCTACAGATAAAACATGACGGCCATTATTTTTGATAATTAAAATAACAGGTGATAGGGCTGGGGTTGTGGCTCAGTGGTAAAGCGCTTGCCTAGCCCATGTGAGGCACTGGATTCCATTCCAGCATCACATAAAAATAAATGAATGAATAAATAAATAAAAGGTATCATGTCCATCGACAACTAAAAAAAAATTTTTAAGTCAACAAAATAACAGGTGATATTCATTGAACACCTATTATGTGCCTCATAACAATCCTAGGAAGTGAGCATGACATTATCCCCATTTCCCAGAAAATCAATATTATTATTATCCCCATTTCCCAGAACATCAGCCCCGCCCTGCTCTGGGCTCCACACTGTTCCCAGCATGCGGAACAGTACTCAGCACACAGTAAGTAAGTACCTGGCAAGGGAAAGAAGGAAGACACAGATGGACACACAGAAACTAAGTGATTCTTTCAGCCTCTCAAGGGCTGGGGGTGGAACTCACGGCAGAGCCCTTGCCTAGGGTGCCTGAGGCCGAGTTCAATCCCCAGCTCTTCTAAAACAAACTACCCAGTTTCTTTCAGTTTTTCAAGATGACAAGTGCCCTTAGATGTGCGTCTCTGCGCATGCGTGCTTGGCCATCCGCCAGTCTGGCTGGAACTTCTGCCCTGGGAACTCCAGGGTGGAATTCACTGCCGCTGAATGTGGGGTCCTCTTCCCTGACCCGCAATCCTACCCCTTCCTGGAAAAGCACGTACACGCTGGTCAAAAGCCCAGCTGGGGACACACCTGTATAGTCACACCGCGGCATGGTCTACAGCTGGGGGAGGGAACAGGGACGGAGTCCATGACATCGCACTGAGGACTGAATGATCCCCTTCACGTCAAGTTCAAGCACAGGCAAAGGAGCAGGCTGTGGTGGCCCACGCCCGCAATCCCAGCTCCCTGGGAGGCCGAGGCAGGAAGATGGAGAGTTCAAAGCCAGCCTCAGCCATTTAGTGAAACCCCAGCAAATCGGCAAGACCCTGCCTCAAAATAAAATAAATAAATAAATAAAAAGGACAGGGGATGCGGCTCCGTGGTTAAGTATCCCTGGGTTCAATCCCTGGTGCCAAAAAAAAAAAAGATGCAGGGACTCTGGGGTCATGATCAACTATCCTTGTGGAGCCGCGCCCCCCAGGGACACCAGGGATGGGGTTCCTGCTAAGGCTGGATACATGGGTGTGTTCCGTTTATGAAGAGTCACAGGGCTGGGGTATGACTCAGTGACACAGCCGCTGCCTGGCACATGTGAGGTTCTGGATTCCATCCCTGGCACCAAAAAAAACACACCACCACCCTCTGAGAGCTGCAGTGCTCCGTGTGTGTAAGTCACACACCAGCGTGGACCGCCAGCCGCTGAGTCAGTCGCCAAAGCTAAAGGCTCCATGGCTCGATGTGTGCTCAACAGCTTCACTAGCAACTGCAAGAATTCCTGCGGGTCACAGAGGGACTAAGTACAACCGAATGTGACAAAACACGTTCCCAGCTTCACAGGGGTTTTCTGGGGGGGCCGCCCAGGGCTGTGACATGAAGTCCAACGTGGCCACAGTAAGACTTCCCCTTCTCGTCCCGGATTCTGAAAGTCAGGATCTAGGAGGCCAAGGGGGTGAAGCCCCTCCCCTCCTTCTTCCCTCCCTCCTTACCTTGCCTTCCAGGAAGTCCTCGGTGTGTTCAAACACCCCTTGGGATCGCAAATTGGCCCTGTTTGCCGGGTTCCTATTGGATTCTCCAGGCACTGGCCCCGGCCAGGCTTTTTAACCAGGGAAAACAGGAGTGGCCTGGTCGCGGCCCCAGGGTGTGTTTGTCCTGTCTTCTTCCCATGATGCACACATACCATAATGACAGGGCAGCCAGGAAAGGTCGAGAGGGCTGGGGAGGTGGAAGGTGGGTGGAAAACTGACCCCGTCCCAAACCCTAATCTTGAGGTCACCAGCTTCCTGGTGCAGTGTGACCTCCAGGGTTTGGTGGTCTTGGCTTGGCTTAGGACACCCACAGCACCCTTCGAGGTTCTTCCGGCAAGAACCAACAGCCCCCTGCCCCCCTCCCCCTGGCTTCCAGCTACGTGTCCAGCCCTCCCTCCTGGTATCCGCAGACAGATAAATATTCCGCCTTCCTCGAATGTTCCAAGGAAAACATCCTGCCCCAAAAGGTCAAGACAGCTGAGCACTATCATCCCTTCTCTGGGCCTCAATTTTCCACCTGTAAATGGGAAGACGTTGGCCATCGTGGTTCTTATTGTGTTTTTCTTTATGTCTTGTTACCAGGGATTGAATCCAGGGGTACTTAACCACTGAGCCACATCCCCAGCCCTTTTTATATTGAGACAAGTTCTGGCTAAGTTGCTTAGAGCCTCGATAAGTTACTGAGTACGGCCTCCAATTTGTGATCCTCCTGCCTCAGCCTCCCTAGTCGCTGAGATTACAAGGTGCATCACCGCACCCAGCATCATAGTGGTTCTTAACGGCCTCTCCTGTTCACCATGGCTGAAAACCTGAACTCAGGAGCCAGGATGATAGGATTCATCTTCTAGGTCCACTGTTGGTGAGTTTTAGGTCTTGGTCTCTCTGAGCCTTCACTGCCTTATCTGTGAAGCGAGAGGATGCAGTGAACACTAAATGGGTGACTGCACTTAAAACCCACAGACCGGCACCTGGCACCTGGTGCAGGTGGCACATCCCTTATCCAAAATGCTTGAGACCAGAGTGTTTCTGATTTTGGAACATTTCCTTATGCCTAATGCCAAATCTTGGGGATGTGACAAGAAGTCCAAACACAAAAATCACTTGATGTTTCATATATAACTAGAGCCTGAAGATAATTTTTCGGGGGGGGGGGACAGTCCTGGAGCTAAAACCCACTAGCCACATCCCCAGTCCTTTTCATTTTAAGACAGGGTCTACATTTCCCAGGCTGGTCTCCTGCCTCAGCCTCTCGAGGAGCTGGGATTGCAGGTGTGCACGCCACACCTCGTCCAGCTGAGACTAAAGGAAATTTTATGCAGTATTTTCAGTGCATCTGTATTTTGACTGTGACTCCTCCCATGAGGTCAGGGGTGGAATTTTCCTCTCGTGGTATCCCGAGAGTGTGCAAAGAGTCTCAGATTTTTGGAATATTTCAGATTTTTAGATTTCCCGATTAGGGAGGTTCAGCCTGTATACAGCTAGGTACATGTTTGTTAGATTAACAACACGAGGCCCTGGGTTCTATCTCCAGCACAGAGAGAGAGAGAGAGAGAGAGAGAGAGAGAGAGAGAGAGAGAGAGACAAGAACAGGCTAAATATTCTTAGGACACATGCACCCTGTAAGCTTCTTGAGAGGAAGTAGCCACAGCCCAATTCAGGAACCTCTTCATTCAGCAGATTTTTCTGCCCTCCCCTCTCCCTCTGCTTGCTTCAGGAGTTGAGGGGGAGATATTTATACTCTCGTTGCTGTTTGATGCTGTTTGAGAATAGAATCATGTTGTTAGAGGAAGTCATTTCTGAGTCAAGAAGCTGGAACTGGCTCTGTGACGCAGGCATCTCTGGTCACCTTCTGGGTGACCCTGTCTTGGCTGAGCCTGACCCCTCCCCCATAGAGACAAACATCCCCTGGGTCCCCTCAGCAGGTCACAGAGTCATTGGCATAAGGTTCTCTGATTCTGGGTGGCAAAGTTTTTGTGGTGTCCCTGGAGCTAGAGGCTCTTACTTGGGGACACGGTGGGGGGGGTGAACTATGCACAGGGCCCCTACAGGCCTAGGGGCAGCCCTGGGGGGCTCATTCTCAGCTACCCTGTGGGGGATGGAGCACAAACTTCTTGGCCACCAGCCATTTCTTCCCAGGAGAAACCTAGAATGAGAAGATCCTAGAAAATGATCAAGTTGGTTCATGTAAAGTGGCCATTTCTGTAGGTCCAAGGAAATCATGGAAAATCCATAGACACAAGCCGATCCGCAGTTTTAGGGGCTGGGGAGGGAGGAATAGAGGAGCCATTGCTTCAGGGGCATGAGGTTTCCTCTTGGGGTGATGAAAATGTCCTGGAGCTAGACAGCGGTAACAATTGCACAACTGTTCACAACACGTTGAGCCTACTAAACGCCACTGATAGGAAATTTTATGGCGTGTGCACTTTACCACGAGTTTTCAAAAACAACAAGTAAACAACAAGTAGCCAGGTGCGGTGGCGCAGGCCTGTGATCCCAGCCACCTGGGAGGCTGGGGCAGGAGGATTGCTAGTTCAAGGCCAGCCTCAGCAACTTAGTGAGATCCCACTCCAAAATAAAAAAGTCACAGGAGCTCAGAGTATAGCTCAGTGGTAGAGCACCCCAGGTTCACCACCAAAAAAGAAAAAAAAAAGGTAAATAAACTGTTACCTTCCCACACCCCAAAGTGAATTGGATCATTTTATTGGGTTCAACCTAATGGAATGACAGGAGGTAGGGTGAGCAGCTAAGATGGGGAAGCATAACCTCATTTCCCTTTCGAACAATATGCTGTCAAAGGATACATATTAGGTAATACCGATGCATGAAAAAGAATGCTTTAACCCATGCTCAAGTTACTAAACACAATCATAAACCAGACACATGAAACCACATCCTAGAGTCTTTGAATATCTAGATCAAGGGTGAGTGTCCATGTTTGTTTGTTTGTTTGTTTTAATGAGAGAGGGAGAGAGAGAGAGAGAGAGAGAGAGAGAATTTTTAATATTTATTTTTTAGTTTTTGGCGGACACAACATCTTTGTTGGTATGTGGTGTTGAGGATCGAACCCGGGCCGCACGCATGCCAGGCGAGCGCGCTACCGCTTGAGCCACATCCCCAGCCCGAGTGTTCATGTTTTGGTTGTTTTTTGGTTACTGTACCTGGCTCCTACAGACTGCATAATTTGTCAAGAATAAAGGTTTATTCATCTTACAGTTCTGGAGGCTGAGAGATTCAAGAGAGAGGAGCTGCCTCTTGGGAAGGCCCTTTTGCTGGTGGCAGCATAAGGACATCACATGGTGACTCAGGGTAAGCTCAGGTCTCTCTCCTCTTTTATAAAACCAGTTTCATTACATTAGGGCTCCATTCTTTTGGCCTAACTTAACCTTGATTACCTCCCAAACGTCTCACCTCCAAACATCAGAGACAGATTAGTTCCATCCCTCCTTATGCCTCAGGATGGAGAGTAAATTTCCTGAGTTTTTTTTTTTTGGGGGGGGGTCAGTCAAACCACAGCAGTTTTTTTCTGCAAAAAGAAAGTATATATTTTTGTTTTTGTGGGTCAAGAAGACAACCAGGGCCTGATGATAGGCCACAGACAGAACGGGCTTGACTGTGTCCAATCAAACTTTATTCACAACAACAAGTCGTGGGCCGGATTTGCTGACCCCTGGATCTAAATCAAAGACCCTGAGGTGGAGTGTTAGACCCAGAGACTCCTAGAATGTCGGAATCCCAGAATGCTGGCCCAAGGGGTCCTGCAATGCGAGTTACAGACTATTTAAATCACAGGATTCTAGAATGTCACAGCGGCCTCAGAGGGCAAGAGGCCCAGAGTTCCAGGTGTTAGATGTTAGAAATTCGTGGATGCTGCCAGGTGCACAGTGGTGCACGCCTATAATCCCAGAGGCTCAGGAGGCTGAGGCAGGAGGATCACAGATTCGAAGCCAGCCTCAGCAACTTAGCAAGGCCCAAGCAACTCAGCGAGACACTGTCTCAAGACAAAAAATAAAACAACAGGCTGGGGGTGTGGCTCAGCTGGGTTCAATCCCTGGGAAAGAAGGAAAGAAAGGGGGGGGGGTGCAGAAAGGAGGGAGGGAGGGAAGAAGGGGAGGGAAAAGGAAAAGAAGAAAGAGAGGGAGGGAGGGAGGGAGGGAGGGAGAGATGTGTAGACGTCCTGAAGGTTAGCCAAGATAGTCTCTCCCCGAGGGTCTCACACTGGCCACAGGAGACTGCTGAGCATTTCAATAAGGCAGATCGGTGGTAGGAGGTACTTTGAGTATAAAATTCACATCAGATTTCAGAGACTTAGTACATTAAAAAAAGAGAGAGAGACCATTGAGTCGTCTGTGTGCCGCGCTAGACCCCAGGGCAGACCCCAGGGCGTGGCGGGGGCTAGGGACGCCACACGCAGCCCCAGGATGTGTCTATGTCCACACGTTTATCTCACGTGTGGAAATGACATTATCTTAAATATATCGAGTTCAGTAAAATGTACTCCCCAAGTTAACTTTACCGGATCATTTGGGTTCTTTGGACGTGCCCCTTGCCTGACTGCAGGAAGTGAGGGTCTCCTCCTGACTCACGTTACCTTGCTGGTGGGTGGTTCCGGTCCAGAGGGACAAGCTCCGGGCCCCTAGTCATGCGGGGTGCAGAGGTCAGTCACAAGGCACTGATGGGGGTGGCTCTGGCCCCTGGCCTGGGGGACCCAGGTTCAAAGAGGAGCCCAGTGAGTGAGAACCAAGGGTCCCGGAGGCTGGGGCTCGGGGAGTGTGGCAGGGAGGACAAGCCCATCGTCCACTTCCTTCCCCCACCACTTCCCCTTTCCAAACCTGTTGACCCAGCAGATTCCCCCGGCCGCACGTTGGGCAATCCTCTGGCCTTCCAGCCCACTTCCCTCTCGGGCTGGGCTGGTCAACCCCAGGCAGATCCCACTCCAGCCTCCGACTGTTTGCAGAAGACCATGGCAGGCCCGGATTGGGGTGGATCTGCTTCCTGAATGGGGGAGGGAGCCTGGCTGGGTCCCACTTATTCCTCAGGTCAGGAGAGCTAGAAGGTGGCCAGGGCGGAGAAGGAATGAAGAGGAGTATGAACAGGTAGACAGGAAGTGAAGGAGCAGGGGGGGCAGGGTGGCACTCCGAAGGAAGGCAGAGAGGGGGCAGGATGGCCTCAGAGAGACAGGCTGGGCATCCAGGAGAAAGGGGCAGGGGCCAAGCAGGGACCAGGTGGCAGAGGATGGGGGGCTCGGACCAGACAGGCAGGACATGGGAAGAAGAGGAGGGTCAGGATGGGTCCCAGGCTCAGGCCCAGGTGGCCAAGTGGACAACAGGGTTGTCCCCAAGATGAGGAAGCAAGAGAAGAAGAGGTTTGGAGGATGCTGAGGTCAGTTTTTGTGTGGGGAGTGGGAGGGGAGGTCAGATGTAGAAAGAGAGATGTCAATGGTAGGAGGTGAAGTCACAAGAACTAGTGAGAGGAGAAGTCATGAAGAGTGAGCTCAGCTGGGTGTGCTGGTGCACACCTGTGACCCCAGCTACTTGGGAGGCTGAGGCAGGAAGAGTGCAAGTTCGAGGCCAGCCTCCACAACCTAGTAAGACCCTGTCTCAAAATAAAACATATAAAGGGCTGGGGGCAGGGGTGGGTGCTCAGTGGTAGAGTGCTTTGCCTCGCATGGGTGAGACCCTGAGTTCCATCCTCAATGCAACATACACAAAATACAAATAAATAAAAACAAAAAGAGTGAGGTCCAGAGAGCTGGTGTTGAAGAGCAGATGTGCAAGTCAGCTTTTGTCATATAACCATGCCAAAGACTCCCTCACTGTGACAGAATACCCAAGAAAATCAACTTACAAGGAGGAAAGGCAGAGGTTTTGATCCATGCTTACTTGGCCTCATTGCTTTGGGCCTGTATTGAAGCAGCTTGTCACACCCAGGAACATGAGGTACAGCAGAACCTCCTGCCTATGGTGGTGAGTAAGCAAGGAGATAAGGGGGCTTAGGGTTCCCACAGCCTGTTCAAAGTCACACTCCCATGACCCAATTTTTTTCCCCCAGGCCTCACTTCCTGAAGGTTCTACCACCTCCCAAGAGCATCATGCTCGTCTGGCTCACAGTTTTGAGGGTTCTGATTGGTTGGCCCCAGTCCTCTGTGGTGAGGCAGCCCATCATGACGGAGCACACCATGAAGCAAAGCCGCTCACCTCAGGCCAGGAGGCAAGAGAGTGCAGAGGGGGCTAGGTCCCATGATTCCCTCCAAGGCCACGCCCCCAATGACCTAAAGGCCTCCCACTAGGCCCCACCTCCTAAAGCTCTCAGCACTGCCACCCTGGCCAAAGCCTTTAAGGGCCTCTGGGGAGCATTAGCAACCAAACCACAGGAGCAGAGAGAGAGACAGGGGAAATGAAGCTGGGAGGTAGAGGACACCAGCCAGATCAGCAGCCATCCAGTGAGGAGGAGGTAGAAGGGCCATTCAGGATTAGGAGGGACTTGGGGAGAAGGATCTGCACCCCCTCCCTAAAAACTAGGAGTGCCTGGAGCTCAGGTATCCTCCAGCGGCCTGGTCCCAAGAGGTGGGCATAAGTGAACACAAGTCTCAGAGCACATCTTGTCCCAGGTACACCAACATTCACTATCAAGCAGGCACAAACATCACACGCAGTACTTGGAAGGCTGAGGTAGGAGGATCGCCAGTTTGAGGCCAGCCTCAGAAATTTAGTGAAGCCCTAAGCAACTTAGTGAGACCCTGTCTCAAAATTTAAAAATCCAAAGGGCTGGGGATGTGTCTCAGTGGTTAAGTACCCTTGGGTTCAATCCCCAGTAACAACAATAACTAATAACAATAATAATAACTGCACAAAGCCTTTGCTGGAAGCTCAACACAGGTGCTCCCTGTTGCACCAAGATGCTCAGACAGTGTCTTTAAGAGTCGTCCCCAAGGCAGCCGTGAGGATGCTGTTGCAAGAGCATGCTACCCTGGGGGCTGGGGATGTGGCTCAAGCGGTAGCGCGCTCGCCTGGCATGCGTGCGGCCCGGGTTCGATCCTCAGCACCACATACCAACAAAGATGTTGTGTCCGCAGAGAACTAAAAAATAAATATTAAAATTCTCTCTCTCTCTCTCCTCTCTCACTCTCTCTTAAAAAAAAAAAAAAAAAGAGCATGCTACCCTGTCTGTCAGGATCAGGCCCGCGCTCAGCCAGCTCTGGCAGAGAGGGAGGGGACTCCGCACATGTGCCCGTTGCTGGAGCAGCCACCAGCCCTGCAAGGCGACTGAGCACTTGAAAAGGGTAAGGCCCATTCAGACAGGCTCTGGGTGCCACGTACACAGACGGGTTCAAAGACTGAGTACCAAAGGAAAGAAAGGCAAAGAGAAAGGAAGAACGGAAGGAAGGGGAAGGAGGGAGGAAGAGGCTCCTTCAATAATATTTTTACATTGATTACAATGACGTTGAAATATTAATACTTTGGATGAGTTGGATTAAGTAAGATATATGATTGCTTAGATTGCTGTCATTTTACATGTTAGGTTTCATATGTAACACAGTATAAATGTATTGTAAATATATTAATACATACAGATCTCTGTACTTACAATAAGGTTCCATCTGTATGTAAGGTAAAAATATCTTAAGTTGGAAATGCATTTAACACACCTCACCTAGCCTCAGCCTAATCTACCTAAGAGCACTCAGACCACTGCATAGGCCTAAGACTGGGCGATCATCTGACACACAACCTAGTGAACACTAAAGTGTTGAATGTAGCATGCAATTTACTGAATATTGTGCTGAACGTGGAAAAACAGAACGATAGTATGAAAAATCATAAGCCAAACCATTATAAGTTGGAGACCACCTATATATATTATACACATTAACATATTATGTGATCTATATTTCATCTTTTATGTATCTATACTTTTTTTTTAAAGAGAGAGAGAAAAAAATTTTAATATTTATTTTTTAGTTTTCAGAGGACACAACATCTCTGTTTGTATGTGGTGCTGAGGATTGAACCCGGGCCGCACGCATGCCAGGCGAGCGCGCTACCGCTTGAGCCACATCCCCAGCCCTATGTATCTATACTTTATTGGTATCCATATAGATAGATAAATAGATAGATAGATAGATAGATAGATACACACACACTATTCACAAAGTACAAATATATCACCAATATCATTGTTTATATGACATACAATTATAGTAGATTATTAAATATGTATTAGTCATTACCGTAATGAAATACCTGAAACAGGCTACCTATGGAGAAAAGGAAGTTTATTTATTTTACTTTGTGTGTGTGTGTGTGTGTGTGTGTGAGAGAGAGAGAGAGAGAGAGAGGGAGGGAGGAGGCGGGAGACACTGGCGATTGAACCCAGGGGTGCTGTACCATGAGCCACATTCCCAGCCCTTTGTGCTTTTTATTTTGAGACAAGAGTCCCACTAAGTTACCGAGGCTGACCTCAAACTTGCGATCCTCCTGCCTCAGCCTCCTGAGTTGCTTGGATTACAGTTGTGCACCACCATGCCCAGGCTGAAAAGGAGATTTATTTAGGCCACCATTTAGGAGGTTCAAGGGCATGACCTGCATGGGTTCTGGCGAGGGCTGGATTTTAATAATGGTGATGGAGACTGGCCATGGCAGGAACCTGAGTCAGAGCAAGTGTTCATATCTCCCGTAGGAAACAGGACTGCGTGAGCCAACCCTCCCATGAGAACCACCCAGGAGTCTCCAAGAGCTTCCTTCAGAAGATCAACACCCCGCCCTGAACCTAAGGGCCTCCCGCTGAGCCCCGCCTCCCAAGGATTCCCCAGGCTCCCAAGAGCACCACCCTGCAGATCAAGCCTTCAATCACAACAGACCCTTGGGGACATTCCAACCACCCAAACCATGGCACATCTATGACAATGACCATTGCATCACTTTTTAATGTGCCCCTGCTTTACACAATCACACTTCTCACATTGCCTGTACTTCTTTTCTAGCTAATCCAAGCCCACACACTATTGCCATATCCATTCTTTATTTGATCACACAAGTCATGCAGGCTGCTTTCAAAAAGCTTGCAGGGTTAGACAGAGTAGGATTCTATTGAAAAGGGTTCTTGAAATGACAAGATCGCAGGCATGGAGGGTGGACTGGCTGTTGTCTGGAGTTAGGACAAGGCTGGGGATGGGGAGGTGGGTGGGCACGACCACTGAAGGGTTCCCAGTGGTGATGGGGATGTCCCTGGACCCTTGGCTGTGTCAAGCTCGACATTCTGATGTGAAGAACCACAGGCTCCCTCCCTCCTATTTCTTATAACATTGAATCTGCAATAAAAAGTCCACAGAAGGGGCTGGGGTTGTGGGTCAGGGGCACTTGCCTAGCATGTGTGAGGCACTGGGTTCGAATCTCAGCACCACATATGCATATATGAGTAAAATAAAGGTCCATCAACACCTAAAAAACAGAAGTCAACAGAAAAAGAAAGTGTAGGGCTGGAGGTGGGGCTCAGTGGAGAACACCTGCCTAGTATACACAAGGCCTTGGGTTCCATGCCCAACACCCCCCCCACAAAAAAAAAAAAAATCCAGCAGGTTTTAAAGCAAAAAAGTCACATTCTTCTATTACCCCACTTCCAGGAGATAACCACAAGACATCTTTTCACTTACTACTTTTTTAAAGTGCTCCAATTATATAGCAGGTTAACTTAAAGCTTTTATTTAAGTGAACTCGCAAATTTCCAGCAGCTCAGGAGGCTGAGGCACCAGGATCTCAAGTTCCAGGCCAGCCTCAGCAACTCAGGGAGGCCCTAAGCCACTTAGCAAGATCCTGTATCAAAATAAAAAAATAAAAAGGACTGGAGGTGGGGCTCAGTGGTAGAGTGTCCCTGGGTTCAATCCCTGGTTCAAAAAAAAAAAAAAGCAGAAAAATAATGTCTGTCAAGGAAGGGGGACCCTGGGGTGTGTAGTGGCCGAGGAAGCCTCCACCCCTTACACCACTTGGGTCTTCTGGGACGGGGTGTCCACGGTGGAGCGCGTGAAAGACTTGCTCTCCCGGCCCTGGGATTCCTCGGTCAAGGCGTTGCGGAGAATGCTGGGGAGGGACCTGCGCAGGCGGCCCTGGAAGCCCCTGCCCGCCACCACATAAATGATGGGGTTGATACAGCAGTTAAGGTAGGCGACAGAGACGCACAGGGAGTCCAGCTTGCGCACCTGCAGGAAGACCCCCGAGGAACTGGGGTACAAAGCCATTATCATCCCTGTCACCTGGTAGGGCAACCAGAAGATGAAGAAGCTGGTCACCACGGCCACCACCACCTTGAGCGTCTTGGTGGAGCGCGTGGCCTTGCGTCTCCACGTGCGGAATAGGAGGAAGGCGTAGCAGATATTGAGGGTGAAGAGCGGCCACAGAAAGCCCACCACCAGGCGCACGATGGCCACGGCCCTCTCCTTGCGCCGGCCGTCGCTCCCGTAGTCCACGCCACAGATGATCTTGTGTGGGAAATGCTCCTCGCGCACCGTGCGGTACAGAAAGGAGGGAATGGTCAGGAGCAGGGCCAAGCCCCAGGCCACGCTGCAGGCGATCCAGGCCAAGCCCGCCCCGCGGAAGTTCTGGCACCAGATGGGATTGAACACCAGCAAGAAGCGATCTGCGCTGATGGTGGCCAGGAGCAGGATGCTGGCGTACATGTTGAGCAGGATGAGGGACGGCAGGATCCGGCAGGCCGCCTCCCCGAAGTGCCAGTTGCTTTGCATTATGACAGATGCAAACAAGACGGGCAGTGCCAGGCAGGAGAGGAGGTCAGCCACTGCCAAGTTCAGAAACCAGATGGCGTTGATGGTTCGCTTGGCCTCGAATGCTGTCACCCAGACCACCAGGGCATTGCCCGGCACACCCACTAGGAAGACCACGAAAAAGATGAACAGAGCTATTTTGTCCGTAGCTGGCAGCTTATAGGAAGTGTTGTCCACAGGTGTGTCGGGGTCCAGGGTGACACCCGCGTAGTCGTAAGGGTAATCAAAGGTGCTGTTATCCATGAAGGCCTGTGTGGAATTGGGGAGGCAGAGAGGGTCTGAGTTGGCAGACCTGGGTTGGGAGGGGGTTGGCAGAGTCCTGAGTTTCTGCCGACCTCCCACCTCTCCCAGCCTCTCTCCTCTTGGGCAGTGGGAATCTGAAGCCTGAGGGGGAGCTGGGACCTGTGCCACTTATTCTTCCATCCTGATGGTCGGCCTGCTCCCCTGCCACCTCCCCCTGAAGCCTGTGGACCGGGATTTCCTCATGACCCAGAAACCAGTTAAACCCTGACTGCTAAGCTAGAGCCACTGGCCATCCTGCTCAGTCAATGCTCCTGACAAGCGGCTTGTTAGAGAGTTTTAATATCCCTAAATACTCAGATGTTGTTATCGGATAGCTTTCCCCACGCGTGTCACCACCATAATCCCTTTTCCTGGCTTCTGTCCACGGAGGTCCATGGCTGGTTCAGTGGTTCAATGCCCTTGGAGGGGCTTCCAGGAGAAGGGAGTGGTTTGGCAATGCCTCACTTACCGTGGGCACAAAATTTAGGGGGTACCCAAAAGATCCAGTCATCAAGATAAATGATATTTTACTTATCATTATTATCATTATTATTAATTTTGTGGTTCTGAGGATCAAACCCAGGACCTCGTGTATGCCAGGCAAATACTTTACCTCTGAGCCACATCTCCAGCCCAAGATAAATCATCTTTTAATGCAATATTTTATTCATTTATTTACTGGTACTGGAGATTTAACCCAGAAGTGCTTTACCACTGAACCACATCCCCAGCCCCACCTCCTTTTTAAAATTTTATTTATTTATTTATTTATTTATTTATTTATTTATTTTGAGACAGGGTCTCACCAAGTTGCTTAGGATCTCGCTTAGTTGCTGAGGCTGGTTTTGAACTTGCGATCCTCCTGCCTCAGCCTCCAAAGCCAGTGGGATTACAGTTGTACTCACTGCTCCCGGCCAAACATTGAATTTCTGACATTAGTTACTGCCATGCTCATGGAGGTGAATGTCCTCCGTCATGAGAAATGACACTGAAATTTTGCAGCATAAAAGGGCAGGATGCCTGCACCTTACTCGAAAAAAAAATAAAAATAAGAAAGACACCAGATGAGAGAAAGAGAGAAGGGATGTCTGGATGGTTGGATGACGAACAGATAGAAAGACGGATGGAAAGATTGGATGGAAGATAGATGATGGAATGGGTGACGGATGCAGAGATAGATAACGGGTAGGTAAGTTTGGAAAATCCGGGTAAAAATTACGAGACTTCTTGCACTGTTCTTGTAATTTTTCTATAACTTTGAAAATATTTCTAAAGAGAAAGTTAAAATGTTTAAAATATTTCCTTTGGTAAATATCCCCTGCTCTAGGCACACAGGGCGCCCTGCTTCCAATTCGCTACTGTGAGACACGCCCCCTCCTGGGGGGCGTGCCCAGGTTTCCACAGGGTTCCGCAGGGCTCAGCGCAGCCCACCCGCACGCCCCCTCCCAGGAGGTTCTTTCTGCACAGTAGCAGATTGTCAGACATTTTGCATGTCCCCTTTGGATGTGACACATGAAGCTAACCCTGCTTCTGCTGACTTCACAAGCTCTCAGCAAACCTTGGCTGCGGAATGAGTCAGACCCCGAAAGTAAGGCTTCCCGATCCTGGCTCCCCAGTTGCGCCATCATCCCCTCCTCAGCTGACAAAACTCCTTTCCTGCATGATGTCACTCTGTCCTTTCTTTTTGCTGACCTCATGAGGACAGAACACTCTGATTTCCAGAATCTTCTCCATGCCAACAGCTCACAAAGTTTTGGTCATGGCAGTATCCCTCACAAAGTTTGGAAATAACTGAAGTGCTCAGCAAGGGGGGATGGGCTGAGTTAATTGGGCAGCAAGAGGGGACTGGTTAAATAAATGGTGGCATATCTGGGCAAAAGAACTCACAAAAAGAATGAGGAAGTTGTTGAGGTAAAGATGTGAAAGTATTTCCAAGATAAAGCTCAGTGGGCAAAACATATTGCCTACAAAACCGGAAACGCGCTAGTGTATGTGTGTGTGTACTTATGTGTACGCAGGCTAGCTCTGGAAACTTGCCACAGTGTTTACCCCTGGGGAAGGAGGGGGCTGGGGGAACAGAAATTAGAAGGCACTTATTCACTATATATACTTTTGTTCTTGGATATAGAACTATGCAGTGCATTGCTGATTCCAAAACCTGAATATCATACAAGATACATTTGACCTTTCACATGCACAGGCATGGTTCTGCACCCGTGGATCCAACCAAACACAGATAGAAAATATTTGAAAAAAATAATCATGTCGGTACTGAAAACTACAGACGTTTTTCTTGTCATTATTCCCTAAACAACTATGTACACGGCATTTAGATGGTATAGGTACCATAAGTCATCTAGAAATGATTTAAAGTATAAGGAGCCTGGTAGGCAGTGCACACCTGTAATCCCAGCAGATTTGGAGTCCAAGGCAGGAAGATCAAAAGTTCAAAGCCAGCCTCAGCAACTTAGTGAGGCCCTGTCTCAAAATAACAAAAAGGGTTGGGGTGTGGTTTAGTGGCTAAGCATCCCTCGGTTCAATCTCTAATATAAATAAATAACATAGAGGGAAGAATGTGCACAGGTTAAATGTACAAAAATGGAGGCATTGAATACAAAAGACTTGTGCATCCTTGGACTTGGGTACCTCTGGAGTCCCAGAACCAATTTTCTGTGGATGCTGAAGGAGTGGGTATCCCAGAACCCATGATTCTACAATTCAAGGAGTCTAAGATAAAGATCCTGGGCACATTCCTTCTTTAGGTAAATATTCACTGGCCAGAGGACATACCAGACATACTGTATTCACTGGCCAGGGGACATAGCAGGCATACCTGGCCTCTGCCCTTCAAGAGGTTCCGGTCTACAGGGAGGGAGCGTCAAGGGCTTCGATTAGAATCGTGGCTCTCCCTGAGCCCAGGCTGGAGTAGGGCTTGGAAAAAGACTGCTGCTGTCCAGTAGAACTCTCCCTGGTTGCAGAGGTCGGCCTGCCATCTGGGAGCCTCAAGATGGCAGTGCCCGAGCACACGTAGCCACTGAGCACTTGAAATGTGGCCACTTCTCTGGGGAATTAAACTTTTAATTGTATGTCATTTTAATTAACTTTAGATGGCCCCATGGGGCTAGTGGCTACCACAGGGGACAGTGCCAGGCACTGTGGAGGTGCTTCCCAGGCATTGGCCCGTTAATTACCTAATCACAGTGTCTAAGGGCCGGGATGGAGCTCAGTGGTAGAGCAGCAGCCGTGGGCCCCTCCCCAGCAGTAAAACAGTATCTATAGCCGGGCACCATGGTGCATGCCTATAATCCCAGCAACTCGGGAGGCTGAGGCAGGAGGATAGTGAGTTCAAAGCCAGCCTCAGCAATTTAGCAAGGCCCTAGGCAACTCAGTGAGACCCTTCTCTAAATAAAATACAGAAAAGGGCTGGGGATGTGGCTCAGTTGTTAGCATCCCCAGGTTAATCCCCAGTACCAAAAAAAAAAAAAAAAAAAAAAAAAAAAAAACCCAAACCAGTATCTATATTGCAGCAACACAGAGGGCAGGGTACTGTTATTGCTTCTGAGCTCATGCACTCATTTTGACAAGAGCTCTTCTCTGTTGCATGGAGAAAGAGATTGAGAGCAGACACTGGGAAGAATAGGAGAGTGGAACGGCCCAGGTGAGGCAGGGGACCGTGGTGGCTTAGACCACAGGGTTGGCAGTAAGGAGCTGTGAGTTCTCAGAGGAGAACAGGGAGAAGGAGAAGACACTGTACTTAAAAGAACTGCAGTAATATTGCAACCTCTGTCCTAAGCCCTTTTCACGTATCATCTCATTTAATCCACATGACAACTCTTGTTGTTCGCTGTTGTAAAACCCACTTTACAGGTGAGAAAAGTGAGCTTCAGAGAGGTTAGGGGAAAGCTTTCTAACTGCTCAGTCAGCAAGAGCAGAGACGGGAGGTGACTCCCTGGAGTCAAACTCTAGAACCCTCTCTTTGAGTGGACACCAAAGAAAGAACTGCATTCTAGGTAGAGGGACCCAAGGCAAGAAGGAGGGCATGTGCTACCCACCAGGAAATGAAAGAAGGTAAAAGACGAGGTTGGAAAGGCCCAGATGTCATGTTAATGAACTTGGATTTTATCCTGGGGTAATGGGGAGCCATGCGTGGTCTCGGAGCTGGGGCACTACATTAGAGTTTAGGGTTAGAACAATCCCTCTAGCCGCTCTGAGGAGGTTAGGCCAGAGGCAGGAGGATCAGAGAGGAGCAGGGGCAGGGATTCAGGCCAGTGAGGCTAGGGGCCTGCAGGAGGCTGATGGCAGAGGCAAGGACAAAAACAAAACGGGGGATCACAGAGAAGAGACTTGTCCACAGCTGAGCAGCTGACTCTTGGGACCAGCGGCTGGTCCTCTCCTCCCCTTCCCCTTCCTCACTGCACTTGGGTTTCCCTGTCCTTCCAACAGGGAAAGTCCTACCGCCTGTCCCCCTGTGAAAGCAGGACAGCAGGCCCAGGGATTTGAACCCAGATATAGATAGATAGATAGATAGATAGTTAGATATAGATATAGATAAAGATATATGGCAGGGGATGTGGTTCAGCAGTTAAGCACCTCTGGGTTCAAATCCTGATATCAAAAAAGAAAAAAATACCGGAAATGACCTAAATCTTCATTGATAGGGAATGAAATTTCCTGCTGGAATATTATTTGACTGATAAAAAGGGGGTCTCAGCTGGGAATCTGGTACCTTCTTTATAGGTTAAAATGAAATGTGGAATGTAAAGTGCTTAGCATGATCCCTGGCATGCAGTTAGCACTCGATTAAAGCTGGTTAATAATATATGTTAGCTGGATGTGATGGCATGGGCTTGTAATACCAGCGACTCAGGAGGCTGAGGCAGGAGGATCACAAATACAGCCATCCGTGAGACTCAGCAGTTTAGCAAGACCCTGTCTCATATTAAAAAAAAAATAAAATAAAAAGAACAAGGGATATACCTCAGCTATAAAGCACCACTAGGTTCAATTCCCAGTGCCATAAATAAATAAATAAATAAATACCAGATACTATTCATGAAAAAACAAGATATGAAATAATGTATAAAACATATGGCTATTTGCAAGGGGAGGAAGGGGAGGCATATTGTATGGGGCCAGGGGAGCAGCAGCCGCTGGTTGGTCGCGTTCTGAGATCCTGTCTGCTCAAGTGGCCCTGAAGGGTGGGATGAGGTGAGGCAACGTGGAGCCCCTTCCTGCCCCAGCAGCAGCCTTCCTTCCGTTTCCTCCCGAGGGTGAGGCAAGGCCTGGGTCCCGGCAGCTGCAGGGCTGCTGGCGCAGTGCCCGGATGCAAGTAGAGCAGGGGGACCCCAGGTCAGCTGGAGGACGGGCTCCTCCTGAGACTCACAGCGTCCGTCGGGCAGCCTGGGTGCTGGTCCTGCCTGGGCGCCCGCTCTCCCATCTCTATGATTCACAGCATCTGCGACACCTGCGACACCTGCCTGAATCTTGACCACTCTTCCAAACCGGCTCTTTCCAGCCTGCCAACCTTGACCTTGCTGCGATCCTGGCCTAGCGGACCTTTTCTGGATTTCTCCACCTGTGGAACCTTTTCCCCCTTCGCTGGGGATTGAACCCAGGCCTCCCTCATGCCCTGCAGGTGCTCCACCGCTGAGCCACATCCCAGCCCTTTTTATTGGTTCATGGAGAGACAGGGCCTCCCTAAATTGTCGAGGCTGGCTTTGAACTCACCATCCTCCTGCCTCAGCCTCCCAGGCAGCTGGGATCCCGTGCGCTGTGCCACCACACCTGGCTGCTCTGTGGAATTCTTAACCATCTTATGAGACCCAACTTGAGGTTTTCCTGCCCTGGGCAAACTTTTATCTGTGAAGTGGCCGCTACCCACGTCCTACCATGACCATCTTATTCCTTAGCCACATCCCATTCCTAGAGCGTGAGAGCCTGGGAGCGGGAGAAGAGGGGACTTTGAGGACAGGGGGAGGTTGTGGCAAGAGGAGAGCAAGGGGCCCACTCACCATCTCCTGTGCTCCAGGGCGCTGTGGTGGCTGAGGTCCCTCCTGCCCGTCTGGGCTGCGGTTTTTAAAGCCCCAAGGGACCAAGCAGCTAGCAAGGAGGAAATGACCGTCCTTCCTCCCGGGGGCTCCTATTGGCCTGGGCACCCTGCCTGGGGCTCCCTCCGTGGGCACACACCCACTCACCCCTCACACCTTCTCCCCAGTAGGGGAGAGAGCCCGGGGCTTGGAAAACTGAGGGAGTTCCTGGCCCCAAGAAGAGAGAAAGCCAGCTGAAATGACCATGCCCCATGCCCCATGGCCCCCTCACCCCGAGTTTCTGGGGAAAAGCTCTGGGGTCGGGTTGGCTTAACAAGGCCCCTGGAAGTCAGGGATTGTGACTCCCCCGCCCCCTCGCACAGGTTGCTTTGTGCTTTGTTCTGTGTGCCCAGAAAGGGCACACAGGTACGTAGAGGTGGCCCAGCACTTGGGTACATTGTGCTGGAGAATCTTCCCCCCAGGGTTTCCAAGTTGGGTGCAGCAGCCCACAAGCTGCAGCCGCAGGAGCTCCACATCTCGTCACTCCTCCCCTCCCTCCTCCTCTCCCTCCCTCCCTCTTTCTTTCTTTCTCCCTTTTTCTCTTTTATTCTGGGTTCCCCGAGAGATGCCAGAGCCCAGGAAGGACCCTCTTTTACCGATCCCTGACTTCAGAGGCTCCGCTTAGGATTCTTCAACTTTAAGCTAATGGGGAAGTGACACTCATTTGAAGTTTGGACTCTGATCTCTTCCCAAACTGGAGACATATGGTTCTACACTCTCGGGATGGCAGGCACCCGCAGCTCTCACAGGCCCCACGATCACAGGGGCCACCACCAACTCTCTCCGTTGTCCCCGGTGTCCCGTGTTGTTCAGCTCTGATGTTCGGCAGGTTGAGTGGATTCAATGCATTTGGGACTCGAGAGATTTTCAGTTAACGATGGGCTTGTGTCAGGGGGCCTCCATGTTACATTTCTGTGGCGACTATAACAAACTGCCATGAAACAGGTAGCTTAAAGCAACAGAAATCTATCCTCCCACAATTCGCAGGGCCAGATGTCACTAGGGCCAGGTATAGTGGTGCACACCTGTAATCCCAGGGACTCAGGAGGCTGAGGCAGGCGGATCTCAAGTTGGAGGCCAATCTGAGCAACTTAGCAAAACTGTCTCAAAATAAAATAAAAAGGTCTGGGATGTGGCTCTGTGGCACAGTGCTCCTGGGTTCACTCCCCTGACCCCCAGACTGCCATCAGGACCATGTTCACTCCAGTCTCCGGGGAGAAGTGCTCCTGGCCTCTTCTAACTCCTGACAGGTGCCTGGCCTGTGACCGCCTCTCTCCTATCCTGCCTCTGTGTCCTCTTCACCTCCTCCTCTACAGGGTGCCTGACATATCCCTCAGAGGAGGACTCCTGGGACCACACAAAGCCCACCTAGATAAAGCAGGACAGTGTCCCCATCTCAAGATCCTCAACCTAACCCTGACGGCAAAGCGCCTTTTACCACATCAGAGCCACTGTTCCCGGATGCCGGGGTTAGGATGTGGGCCTGGCTGGGAGCCTTTTTCAAACTCCCAAGTGAGTGTGGTTTTGCTGATACAGAAACAGGCTCATTCCCCTGGGCTGTTCCGCAACTTTATAGTATATCACCCACATCTTTCCCCACAGTATTTTTCCTACAGAAACCTTCAATCTTTAAAAATCAAGTTTTCTAAGCTGGGCACAGTGTCACCTGATTGTAATCCCAGCTGCTCAGGAGGCTAAGGCAGGAGGATCACTTGATCCCAAAATTTTGAGGCCAACCTGTGCCATATAGCAAGACCCTGTCTCCAAAAAAAAGAAAGAAAGAAAAGAAAGACAGAAATCAAGATTTCTTTCCATTGCAAAGGTAATGTCTTTGCATTTGCTCTTTGCACATTCTCAAACAATCTTTCTTTTTAATATTTATTTTTTAGTTTTTGGCGGACACAACATCTTTATTTGTATGTGGTGCTGAGGATCAAACCCCGGGCCGCACGTATGCCAGGGGAGCGCGCTACCGCTTGAGCCACATCCCCAGCCCTCAAATAATCTTTTGTTTTTTTCTTTCTGCTATCACTGAGCCCCCAGTATCCCTGCTGCATTTCTGAATTCCCAGTTTGGAGGGGAGGCACCTACACATTCTCAAGCGTGGCTTTTGTGCTTGATGTTCAGCTACATTACCTGGCAAGGATTTTGAAGAGGGATTTGTGGGGATTCTGGGTTTTGTAGTAATGCAGTGTTATTCTGACCCAGACCTGGAGGGGGCGACAGAGAGGAGAGACTTAGGAAGCCAGGACATATCCACTTGACCTACATTTTCTGGGCCCTGGACCTTTGATAAGGCTTTTGTTTTGCTATGGGAGATTGAACCCAGGGTTGCTTAACCACTGAGCCTCATCACCAGCCCATTTTATTTTTTTAACTTAGAGACAGGGTCTCACTGATTTGCTTAGGGCCTCACTAAGTTGCTGAGGCTGGCTTTGAACTTGGGACCCTCTTGCCTCAGCCTGCCGAGCCACTGGAATTACAGGCTTGTGCCACTGTGCCCAGCTGGCATCATGGTTTTTATAAATACATTTTTAGAACACCATGTTTCTCTTGCCAGCCTCAGTCCTTTGTTAGTGAAAACTTTTTGTTCAATCACTTCCCTATTGGTAGAATTTTGGGTGGTTTCCATGTTTTGTATATACCAGGCCCTCCAGTATCAGCATTCATACTTATTGCGGATGATTCTCTAGAACTGAAATTGCAGTGTGTGTGCACCGTTCTCTGTGTGTCCGCTTCATAAGAATCCCCTGGATTCTTCCAAATCCAGACCTGCACTGCCCAATACAGCAGGCTTCAGCCCCGTGGCCCCTGAGCCCTTAGCCCTTGAAAACAACAGTCTGAATTGTCATGGCTGTGACTATAACACACACAGGGTTTTAGGAGACAGGATTGTAAAAGATTCAATAATTTTTATACTGATTACATGTTAATATTTTGGATAAACTGAATTAAGCAAAATCTATTATTAATTCATATATGATGGTATAATATAAATAATATCATTACAGTGCCTATTATATATTGTTTCACCACTACCATTGCTATAAATATAACATTAGCCAGGCTCAGTAGCTTGGGAGGCTGAGGCAGGAGGTTCGAAGTTCAAAGCCAGCCTCAGCAATTTAGGGAGGTCCTTAGCAACACAGTGAGACCCAATCTCCAAATAAAATATCAAAAGGGCTGGGGATGTGGCTCAGTGGTGAAGCACCCCTGACTTCTATTTATGTAAATGTCACTGTTGTCACTTCATATGTTCCTTTGTATACTTTTTAACATGGCCACTAAAAAATTTTAAATAACACAGGAAGGGGCTGGGGTTGTGGCTCAGTGGTAGAGTGCTTGCCTACCGTGCGTGAGGCACTAGGTTCCATCCTTAGCACCACATGAAAATAAAATAAAGACATTGCGTCCACCTATAAGTAAAAAATAAATATTAAAAAAAATAACACAGGAGGCTAGCATTTAGGACTTTAACTTTTTTTTTTTTTCTTTTTTGGTACTGGGGATTGAAGTTGGGGCACTCTACCACTGAGTTACAGCCCAAGCCCATTTTTGTATTTTATTTAGAGACAGGTTCTCACTGAGTTGCTTAGTGCCTCCCTTTCCGGGTTTCTGTTCTCTCGACTAAAAGGCTCAGGGGTCACTCCAGTTGAACTGGGCTAACTGGGCTGCAAGAAATAACCACACAAGAGACACAGATACCTTTATCTTTGGGGTTGCTGTGACGGCTCCTCTGACCTTAAGAGTCCACAGGAAGAGAGAGAGAGAGCACGCGCTGACCCCTTTTATTGAGGAGAAGCTATTCAAATGAGGCAAGGGGTCAGGTTTCAGGGGCTGAGTCTGTCTTCATGATGTCCACTGTCAGCAGGCTGACTGACACCTGGGTAGGCCACACCCAAGGGCACAGTAAGAGGAGGGGACACACACAAGGCACTTCCATGGAAGATTCTATCCTAAACAGGGCAAGGGGTTCTATTACAAAGGAACAGGTGAGCATAGCTCCACCCATAGGGCTGTAGCAAGACTCACCCTCGAGCCCAAGAAGGGTGGGGGAAGCTCTGCCACATTTCTGCGGAGGCCAATCCATTCAAGGGTGAGCCTCAGAGTGGCGCACATGACTTTCTGCTCACAGCCCACTGGCTGGGATATAGTCACTTGGCCACACCTAGCTGCAAGGGAGGCTGGGAAACCCAATCTGGGCAGCCACTGGGTGTGGTGTGCACACCTGTAATCCCAGCTATTCGGGAGGCTGAGACATGAGGATCACACGTCCAAAGCCAGCTTCAGCAGTGGCAAGGTACTGAACACTCAGTGAGACCCTATCTCTAAATAAAATACAAAATAGGGCTGGGGATATGGCTCAGTGTTGAGTGCCCCTGAGTTCAAGCCCTAGTACCCACCCACCCCCCAAAAAAAGACTAAAAACACAAAACAAAAGCTCAGTTTCAGGCAGGATGGAGATGTAGCTCAGGGTTAGAGCACTTGTCTAATGTGCATGAGGAATTGGGTTCCATCCAGCTCTGCCAAAGAAGAAAGAACTATTCCAGTGGACAAATGAGAGCGTATATACTGAGAACAATTAAAATTCTGTTGCAAACAGCAACAGAAAGGTCATTGCTCATTTAAATAACACAATTGTGTTTATTAAGACTTAAGAAATCTAGCAAAGGAAAACACATGACAGCTAGATGTGGGTGCATGCCCATGATCCTAGCAACTCAAGAGGCCGAGGTAGGAGGATGGCGAGTTTGAGGCCGGGACTGTGGCTGTAACTCAGTAGTAGAGCATTTGCCTCCTATGTGAGAAGCTCCAAGTTCAACCCCCAGTACTGCAAAAACAAACAAGATTGAGGCCAGTCTCAGCAACTTAGGGAGACCCTGTCTCAATTTTAAAAACCGAGAGTGGCTATGCCTGTAATCCCAGCTGCTCCGGAGGCTGAGGCAGGAGGATCT